CACTTGTTAACATTATCGGTTAAAGATTCTAATTGTTTTAAATGCGCGTCGACACATTTCACAATGTTTTGCAGACCGAGAAAGGTAGTCTTCTGCATTACAATAGCTACTGCGAAGTTTCTGCGTTTCTTCGACGGCGGCGTTGAATCGGACGCGACCTCTCCTTTTCGGAGATTCTCGCTGATATTTTCCATAGAACGAAGTTCCTCTTCTTCGTCTTTATACGCCAATAATATTGATTTCGCACCGTAAGATGTGGTAAAACTGATAGAGATATTTTTTATGATAACAGAATTCGTTTTCGTTCGGTTATCACTAGTTAAATATTCGTTCATGTAGCCCATGTTGTCTTGAAACTGTTTCCAACTCTCGGCGTCGAAATAAATACCGTCAGCACTGTTTCCGCTCAATTTTACAAGAGGCTTGAAGATTCCCTCGTTCGTTCTTTGCAGACCCACATGAATCGTCTTCGTATGAGAGTTGTTGAGACCATACGTTGTCGTAAACAGCATATGAAATCGTGTGTTTCTTCCCACGTCGTTGTTACGCGGCTTGAAGCAATTCGGATTGGAGTACATTTGCTCGTTCGAATTATTGGCGACTTTTAAGCTGTCCATTATTCTTACTTCGCTGTAACACCAAATGACACGAATAATCCAAATTGGATGGGTCAAAACTAAGAAGTACAGTACTTGCTTGCTTGCTCACGAAGTTGGAGCTAGGAACGACGAGACTCGAATGAAGCGGACTCGCTACCGACGACATCATCCCCCTCTCGTCGATGTTACTTTACAAAAATTATTCTGCGCGCGCAGAAGAAAAAGCAAAAAGTCTTGATTTTTCTATATTTTTTCCGTTAAAATTTAAAAGTCTGAAAGGGAGAGGTAAAACAAGAACGAACATGTTCGTCTTACGATACTTCGACTGCTGAGTTATAAAAATTATTGAAGAAAGGATTCTGCCCAAATTAATAAAAAATTCTTTTAAATTATTCTGTAAGAAAAAATGTGATAGCCTTTCAAAGAAGACTTACAGGGGAGAAGTAAATAAGAGGGGACAGGGACGTACAAGTTCGTTTTACGACATTTCGACTATTGAGTTATACATCATATTGAAGAAAGGATCCTGTCCAAATTAACAAAAAAATTCTTTTAAATTCTGTAAAATAAAAAGGGATAGCCTTTCAAAAAAAAAGTCTGGGAATGACAGGCAGGTAAGAACGAACAGAAGCGTACAAATTTGCTTTATGATAATCTGTCCGTTCTGCTTTTCAAAAATTATTGAAAAAATGAAATATGGTTTGACAGAAGAGTAAATTTTTTGTCGATTATACGGTAAGGAAAAAAAAAGATCATTTAACTTAGAAAAGCTTTTAGCAAATAAGAAATAGTCGACTTTCTAAGAAAGAATACTTACAAAAAAATATGGAGAACCTTAGTGATTAGCTGAACAAACTTAGGAGAAGGAAATAAGGAAGTACCCTTTTTATCATATTTTCGAGTGAATAAATAGTGCGTAGGTTAAAAATTTAACTCTAGTTTGGCTTTGACTTCTCGTTGTGTCGAACAGTTTTCCGAGGGCGT